GGTTGTTCCACAACCTGCCCCCCAATGGGTTGTGCAACAACCACGGGAAGCTTTTGTCCTCTCAAGACGCCTGCTCTTTCTCCATTCTTCACTTGATCTACCACCACCACCCCGGAAGCTATTGCCGTGGGCTTCTTTGCCCCGAGAGGCTTAAGAACTCTTTCTTGACCCCGGGGCGTCTTCTCTGGCATTTTGTTGGATTTCTTTGGACCAGGGTTTGGGTTAGTCACCTTGGCGCCTTTTAAGGAGAAAGGTGGGGTAAAAGCATTTCAAGGAAATACTTATATAATAAATAAATGGTTTTCCAAATTGTTTCACATGTTTTAAATGATTTTGTCCATTCTAAACTGTGAAATGGCTCTCAACTGCTCTTGATGCACATTGCCCTCCTATCTTGTGATATCGGGTGGATTATAAATATTCTAAATACAACAATAATAAATAAAGCCAATGCCCAGCCCTATGCTGAAGCACACAGTCCTGCCCCTTGTGCCAGTCAGCCAGGAGTCTCTGTGATTCCCAGGAAAAGCAGGCACTAGTCAGGAAGAGTCCAGACGGGCACTGGGTCCTTGTGCCAGTCAGCCAGGAGTCTCTGTGGTTCCCAGGAAAAGCAGGAAGAGTCCAGACGGGCACTGGGCGAAAGAAAGGGTCTTACTCGGTCAGCCAGGGTATTGCTGAAAATCATCTCATGGACACTGTTGGAGTACTTGGGGACGCAGACTCTGTTGGGCGCCACGCTGACGGCCACAGAGAGCGCCAGGCTGCGCCCGTGTCGCACCATCCAGTCGATGCCGGAGACGTCGGCTGTGGAACCAAAGAGAGGGTCTGTCAGGGTTGGCACCAAACCCACAGCGCCTTATCTCGCTCTACTACGTGCAGCTCCTCGAATGGCCGGTCAAGGCACGAACCAAGAGAACTTCTGACACCAGTACTGCACCTTGAAGAAAACATCCACCAGGTAATCTGACCGTGGAATTCACTCAAATTGGCCTTCCCTGGTAGTTAAAACGAAAATTTAATCCCAGCTTTCTGATGGAGGCCTGCCATGCGGCTGTGTTGCCTCTCCAGCCCCGAAGCCAAACAGAAGCCTCTGAGCCTCAAAGGAAGGCAATGGGCGGGGGGGGGAGGCAGACTGTTTGGCGATGCTTTGTTTTGCGGAGATGGGACATAAATTCCTAGGTGCTCCTTGATGCTGCTGGAGGAGGAGTTCCCACCCATCCGCCCACCTCCAACATGCTGCTCAAGGATGCTCGCCTACCAGGAAAAACCACCATGCCCAGAAACACTGAAAGCTGTCTGACAAAAATGGATCTGTCACCACCGAAAGCTTGCTACCTGATGCTTTTCAGCGGTCCAATAAAGTTATTGCCTGCTTCTGCATCTGCATTGTATTTTCAGCCTGTTTTTGATTATTTCCAACCAAAGTCTGTATTTTTTCCAACCCTACCTGCCCTTGTATGGGCATGTCCATTTCAAGATGCAGGTTTATCAAACGTAACACTTTCCCACCTTTGCGCTTTCCAAATTCAATGGACTCAAAAGCCCCACCGGAGGAATCTCAACAGGGATCAAATGTTCTGACTCCTGCTAGAGGAAGGGTAACACCAAAGCCACTCTCCCCCCAAACCTGGTTCCCCGCATGGATGCATCGAGGTTCAGCTCCCAGAATTCCCCAGCAGCTACTGCCTTGCACAGGAGGGACTCCCCAGAGCTGGGGATTCTGGGTGTTCCTCAGTCCCCCACCATCAGGAGAGTCTCAGGCTGGGGAAGGCTGAGCTGTGGCTAGTGCCGCACGCAGTGGTGGTTGGCGAAGCCCACCGAATCAAAAGATACAAGGCAGAAAGACTCAGTTTTGGAGATGGGCACAAACTGAACCATGAACTAGAAAAAACCAACAGACTGGTCTGGTTCGTGGTTGGTTCGTGACCCGGTTCGGGGATTCTGTTTTGCTGAAACAAAATGAAGGTGTGAACTATTTCCCCTTTGGCCTTTGGTTTTGCTTTGGCAAAACAGATGCTCGCCTGCCCCCCATCAGAGAAAGGGGGGGACCAACTTCCCTTCCAGGACCTGGGCTGGCTCCCTCTGCACACGCACCTGCTGCCCAGCGGACAGGTGGGCGCATGCGCAGAGGCAGCAGCCGGCTCTGACGAGGGTGGCGGCCGGGGCAGGACCAGGGAGCGAGGGGGCGAGGGGCAGCGGGAAAGGGGTGGGCAGGTAGCTGAGGAGGCAGAAGGCAGGAGTAGGTAGCTCCCCTCCCAGACATGAACCAGAACAACGAACCACAAAAGTTTGTTTTCCTGGGCATTCGTGGTTAGCCACAAACCATCACGAAGCCCCGGTTTTCTGGTTCCTGCCCATCTCTGTTCAATTTCTTACATTGATCATGGGGTATGTTTCAGCCTATGCTAGTCTTGGAAAGAGATCTAGGTGTGGAAACCATACCAAAATCAGAAAGGATCCAGCGGATTCCTGCTTTCAGCAGGGGGTTGGACTTGATGGCCTTATAGGCCCCTTCCAGCCCCATGATTCTAGGATTCTAATTGGAGTAGCAATATTAAGAGCTGCTAAAGAGCAATTAGTAGCTAAATGGAAATCAAGCGTCTGCCAGTATTACTGGCTGATTTGATAAAACAATATTTGTTCTGTACTGTTGGAAGAAGGGAGGTGGAGAGGAAAGAAAGCAAAACCAAAGGAAGCATCTGGAATCGTGATCTTTGCTAGTGTCAGGTTTTTCTTGACTAGCGGCAACTGCTCCCTTTTTGCTGACTGGGTTTATAAGACTGCCTTTAGCTGTGGACCCCACATGGCGCCTGGAGAGTGATAAAGCCACTCTCTGCTGACGAACGAGGAGAATCTTGCTTCTCTTTCGCTCCGGGATAATAATTTCACATTGCAGGTCAAAGCGTACCCAGCAGGTGGTTCTGGAGAACACTGCAGAGCTCTTCCTCGCTGAGAAATGCACACAGCTCGGCCAGGCAGCCAGCAGAGGCCATACGGGTGGCATCCTGAGATGGGAAAGAAAAAAAAAAGGGGGGGGGAGAAATTAGTGTGAAACATTTAAACTGACCCTTGAAGACAATCAAGCAAGGAGGAGGTGGCTCACCTATACTCTCCACCAGGTGGAGGAAATGCCTGGCCGCTGAATAATTATTATTGTTATTGATTTTTATTAGACTTATATACACTGCCCATCTAGAACGTGTCTACTCTTATGGCCAACAAGCTAGCTGGAAGAAAAAAACAAGATGCTGGAGAGGGTGAAAAGTCTATGGCGATCCCTTTTTCTGATGCTCATTCACATATGCATGTTCATCTCAGGGGCATATTTTAGGGCTGCGCCTTCTTTTTGGAACAGATGGAAAAACCCCAAAAGAAACGAAACCCAAGACCAGCGCTGTGTGCAAAACAAACCAAACAAAAGCAGCAAATGGGTCCCTTAGTTGTCACCCACTGTCTTCTTCATTCGACTGAGAGAGGAGGTTTCAACACCTGGTGCCCCCAAAAAATCAAGTGCCGGTTGTACATATCATCCAAAGACTCGATTAGAGCAAATATTGCTCTAATATGGGGCCCTCAAGCCCTGTTGGACTACAGCACCCATCATCACCAGGGAGCATACCCAATGCCGACTGGGGATGGTGGGAGCTGTAATCCAGAACATCTGAAGGATGCTTAGTTGTGGGAAGGGTGGTCTATTCTGACTGGATACAGTCCAAACAAGACGCTTCCCCCAGTCTTGGCAACAGGAACCTGGGACGTCCATGCCCAATCCAGGCCACCAGATTAAGGACTTTCCTCTAACAAGAATCGAATGCCCTGGCCCCTTTATTCAGAACCTCCTGGTCCTGAATAAAGGGCTGGTGTACAATACAAGAAGCTGCCTTGCTCCACTGAGCGCAGGACCATCTGTGAAGGCTAGCTTCTGCTCTCCGGGAGATTCTGGAGACGGAAGCAGCGACTGCCTACATGCAAAGTGTGTTGTCTACTGCCAAGCGAGAGCCCTTTTGCGACAACTGGCAGTGGGTCTTCAGGACCTAAAACTAGAGGTTCTTTTGCTGCGTCACCACTGAAGATCCTTTTTAAACTGGATCGTTGTCTACTGCCAAGCGAGAGCCCTTTTGCAACACCTGGCAACTGGCAGTGGGACTTCAGAACCTAAAACTAGAGGCTCTTTTGCTGCGTCACCACCAAAGATCTTTTTAAAACTGGATCTGGGAGGAACTGGTCCTGAATCCTCCTGCGTTCAAATCACAGCTGCTGCCACTGAGCTTGACGTCCCTCCCACCCACAAGGGAACAGCCCACCTCCTGCCAAGCCTTACCTCGTCGTGCCCCAACATGCCTAGGAGCACCGTGGTGAGATTCTTCCTAATAGCAGCATCTACTTTGGCTCCGGCACCTTGCGTTATAAATCTTAGGGCTTGCAGCATTGTGTCTCTGGAAGGTGGCAACAAATATAACACAAGTCAGAGGCTAGGGTCCTTTTCACACAAGAAAAGGTAATCGAGCCAAGGCGGATTTGGGATATTTCTACCAGTGACAGGAAGGAAGGCAGAGCAAACCTCTCTAGGCATAGCCTATTAGGGACTCCTCCAGCAGAGCCGTGCTCATCAGCTCACAAAACTGATTGGCTGTGCCCCCTGTGAATTTGGGGCAGAAGATCAACTTGCTGACAAAACAGGTGCTAACAATCTAGCCAAGGGGTGGAATTAGCATGTGAATCGTCTAATAATCCAGAGCTTGGATGCGTTCCAGAAACCAAAGGGGAAAAAGGAGCTGCCTCCATCCCACTTTTATGACCAGAATTCAGAGGCAAGCGGCAAATACATCACTGTATCCACAAGTAAGGAAAAACAGCTGAAGAGAAAAGGAGCACTGCTGTATTCCTCATCCAGCCTGGCACAAGGAAAGGAGACCAAAATAAATTCATTCATTCATTCATTCATTCATTCATTCAATTTATATCCCGCCTATCTGGTCATTGCGATCACTCTAGGCGGCTATGGAGCCACACTGCATGTGTCATTGTGAGTGACATATTCCTTTTATGAGTTTCCAGCAATGAGACAAATCTTCACCAGGTTCGGTTTCAGTACGGACAGGCTGGGAGTGAAAAGGTGTGATACCCCTTGCCCCAAACTCTCACATGCTAATTTTCACCAAGAAATTTGGCACAATTGTCCTTTTCCTATTTGGGACATCTAGGATGCTGCTACAGTGCCCACCTCCCCCCTGCTAAGTTTGCCTGATACAAAATGTGGGTCTCAGATGCTGCTTCATGAGCAGCGTGATTCACCCTATCTGCTGTAACTGAGCATCTCCCAGCAGTTTGCTCTAAAATTGCTAAGAGAGAAGGGTGTTTGGGTTGCCTCCTTCTGTAAAACTGTTCAAAAGTGTGCTGCTTAGATACTGCCCCATCACACTCAAAGTGCTCTTGGGGGTGGTTTACAATTCAGTTATGCAGGCTACACACTGTGTATCCAACAAGGTGGATACTCAGTGTACCAACTCTGGATGGACAGAAGGCTGAGTCAACTTCCAGATGGCTATCTGGGCCCATCAGGATTGAACTCACGTCATGAGCAGAGTTTTGACCGCAGGACCGCAATTTGACTACTGTGCCATGAAGCTGCTCCCAGGTAACCAGATTGGCTTGTCACCAACTAAGGTCACTGAATTAGAAAACTAAGAAAACTTCCCAAAGCATAACTTTACTCTGACTTAGATTCCAAATGAAGTCTTTGAAAGAAACTCCTCTGTGTCGTTACAGAGCTTTGGGTTGCCCTCTTGAATCCCCAAAGGCCCTGAAGATCTTGTCCCCAAGTGCACCTGGGGGGAGACACACTCCGGTGTCTTTTACCTCTTAAGTGAGGAACGGTGTGCTTTTTGTGTGTCGGGGGGAGGATTGGCACAGCCCACCACCTCTTTAACCACAAAGTGCCGCTTCCGAGGGTCTCACTTGCCTGACGCCAGAATCTTCACTGGTGCGGACCCCGTTCAGCAACTCAGTGAAGAGAGGGTCCACCTTGGCGTGGATGGCAATCAGCTTCCCAAGAGCATCAGCCGCCTTGAGGCGGACCACGCGGTTAGGATCCTGTAGTGCTTTTGTGAAAGTGGTTTGCAGCTGAGGCAGGAACGGCTTCAAGGCAAGGCCCACCTGGAAATGGGGAAGCGGGAAGGACTGAGCAAGGACCGAGAATGTAGGGTCTCTGTCTAACGCTACCAGAGAACCGTGACCCTCCTCAGAGCTCGCTCTCCTTGCTCAAAGCAAAAGCCTCATCTCCAACAAGAAGCAGGAAATGGGGGTGGGGGTTTAAACTTTTAAGAACTGTGAAGAACATCTGTCTTGTTTTAAAGGCCAAGATCTTAGTCCTTATGTTGTGGAAGGCAATTCTGATCATGTGATCATGTGCCAAGGATTTTCCCCCAATTAGTGGTTTTACACCAACTTCTTTGTAAGTAGTCTCAGTCTTCAGTATTCCAGAAAAGTCACCTATTCCAGGATCGACCGTGGATACCTAAAACTGCAGATACGAGGGATCCCATTAGAGGGTGCGGGGAAGGGGAGGGACGAAAGGAGGAAGCGAGTGTGCACATGCGCTGCAGGCTGGGTTGCAGCAGCAGGGGCTACAGACAACTGAAACTGTGGATACCGACTCCGTGGATACGGAGGGACTCCTGTATCCTTGTAACAGGACATGGGGATTCAAAGTGGAGAGGCATTCGGGAAGCCACTTACCTTGGCCAGCAGGAGGCTTAAAGTTTCGAGCAAAGCGACCTTGACGTTCCAGCTGAACCGGTCTCCCAAGATGCGGATCAGGGGCCCGGTGATGCTCACGACCGAAGGCTTCAGGGCTTCTGCCGACGTCAGCTTGATCACGAGCCCTAAGGCCTTGGCCGCTTCTTCTTTCTGATCCGAATTGCCCATCAGGACACCCTCTCGCAGGACAGGAAGGATGGAGGTCACTCCCTGTGTGGAAGACCTGGAGGTGAACCCGGCTTCTTTCTACTCAGCTGGGGGGCCAGGGAGTGAGGGCCCCAACCAGCCAAGGGCGACACTTCCCCTCCCCCCACAGGAAAGAGGACCAGCAAACTTGCTATCAGTTCTGGGGGCGGGACGGGGGGGGGAGGGAGAATGGTCTTCTGTTCTCCATTTGGCTCTGCCTTCCGGACAAGAGAACCTTTGTGGGGGTGAGAGCCATCTTCACCAAGGCAACCCCCTCCAGATGTTTCGGACTACAACACGTAGCGAGTGCCCCACTGGGGGAAGGGCAAGTAAAAGCATCAGATGCAGAGGAGAGACACCTGGGTTCAGTCCCCTACCTGGTCATGAAAATCACTGGGTGGCCAGGGGTCACACCGTAGCGCTGGCCTACCCAAAAGGGTTGTTATGAGGGTAAAACAAAGGATATGATTGCCTGGAGCTTGGTGGAGGAAAGGCCTGCCTATGAACTTGTTTCCTTTGAGATTGCAAGGGGTCTAAAGCCAGCTGAGAGACCAGCCTGCCTTTGGGGGCAAATCTCCTAGTTCAGAATCTCTTTTTTTTATCCTCTCCCTCTCCTCCCTTTTCATTCATGTTCAATATTTCTCTGTTGCTTTCCACAGCAATAGGTCTATCCCAAGGCAGCTGATGGAAAAGTTAAATGCTATTTCGCACCTTAGCAACCAGTCCTGCTGATTGGCAGAGCTGTGTTCCTAGCAGAAAATAATACAAACCCGGGAACGGCTGGGGTCTGACTGCACCAAGCAGAAGCATCCCATGAGATTGGCTGGCTTTCTGTGTGTAAAAGACCAGCAGAAAGGGTGCTGAGCACCCCGGGAATCAATGCGTGGGCTTCTCCTCCTAAGGAAGGAAGGAAGGGGCCCAGTGGAAAGACTGGGACCAAAAACCCTACAAGCTGGTCCCGGAAGAGCGGGCAAATCCTGCCAAGGGGCTTAGGTAGGACCCCCTCCAGAAGTACACCAGCTTGAGCCTCACAGGAGGGCAAAACGCTCAGGATCCCGTGTCCCGCCTGCCCTGAATGGTTTACCTTCTTGGGAATGCAGAATCCAGGGACGTGTTCCCCACCGGCATCGTTCCCGACCATTCGGATATCCCTGTGAAGATCCTCAATGAGAGCCAGCTGGTTGCAAGCATCTAATTTCTGGGGAAGGAAGCAGAAATCCAAAGTGTCGCATCTAATTTCTGGGGAAGGAAGCAGAAATCATCCAAAGTGTCGACACCACCACAGAAGCTTCACAAACATCTGGAACATTGATCAGGTCTGGAACGGCCCTCTTCCAAACTCTTGACCTCTGCAGACGTTGCTTGATTCCCTAGGAACCTCTGCCTCCTGTGTGGGCCATCAAGTCATTTCTGACTTAGGGTGACCTTTTTCAGGGTCTTCCAGGTACAGAGTACTCAGCAATGGTTTCCCCTTCCCTTCCTCTAGGGGGAGCCCTGGGACTGTTGTGCAGCTGGCCCAAGGCCACCCAGGCTGGCTTCACTCCCAGGAGACCCAGTGGGGGAATCGGACGCCCAACCTCTGGCTCTGCGGCCAGAGAACCGCACTCATGGAGCTAAACAGCCTCCTAGTAAAAAGACGGAGACGCCCATGACACTGGAAACAGGTCTAAAAACTCTCGGCGAACACCAGAGAGGAGACATGAATGGCCAGAAGCTGAACAGACTTTGTGTTAACTCTGTAGTTCTTCATCCTTTGGAAGTAATTCAATAAAAAGTATTTTCCTATCCAACATGTATTAACATTTTCAACAACATATTAACATTTCATTCTACGAAATGCCAACAATGTTGTTTCTGAGTAACAACGATCGTTTCCCATTACTTTCATTCGTAAAGATCCATTTTTTGAAAATTTAATGAGTTAATGAACTGATTGTATAAAACTGTTTCAGCACTTTAGCAGTAACAACTCACATTTCTTGAACAACTGCTTTGTATAACATTTACAGTGCTGATTTACAAACCAAACTAGAAGCCCTTTGAAAACAAAAGATGAGAAGCAGCCAGTTCAAAAAAGGGTTTCCGCAAGGCTCACAAGCTAGTCTTACCCACGGCAGCCCCCCAGCTGCCAAACCCTATTCAGGCTTAGCTTTTTGAGCAGGAAAATCTCAATTTTTCCAAAGTGAATTATTGTTCAAAGTTTGTCGGCTTGGCAGAAAACAGGCACCTTGCTCCCAATTTGTGCCATTTAATCCCAGCTGCAGAATTTTTAACCCACTGAAATGAGATTGTGCTGAAGGAGCACTTCCAGCTTCTGACTGTGGGTGTGAGCTTGTCAATAGCTTCCTCAAACGTTTAATATCTTCACACAGGGAAAACATGCACATTTGTTTTTAGCAACATATGTCACGGCAGACTTTCTCCTGGAAGAGGACAGCAATCTCTCTCTCTTCTAAGATGACATTCATAATATGCACTTTTGACAAGTACTGGCTGAAATCCTATTAGTGACGCCCACTGGCACAACGCCGTTGGCGTACGTTTCTTCGATGAACTACCTGAAGTTGAGAAATTGGGGGAAACAGAAGGAGCTTCCCCCAAAGAGTGGGAAAAGACTGTGAGTCCACTTTCACAGAGAGAGAGAGAGGGGAAGGAAGGAAGAATTTAAGACGCAGGCATTCATTGTTCCGCACAGAGTCCGAGAGAGAGAGAGGAAGGAAGGAAGGAAGAACTTAAGATGTAGGCATTCATTGTTCCGCACAGAGTCTTATGACTTGGTGGACAACCATCAAGGTCCACATCAGCTTCTTAAAAGACAACAATTCACCAGGGAGAGTTATACCTGTTGAGTTAACCCAGCCTAAGGACGCCACAGGAATTCTTAAAAACTATGAAAAAGCCACAGACGTTCCCCCAACACCCTTCTGGTCAACTCAGATGTGTTTCAACTAATCCAACTGGTTCCCAACCTTTTTCGAGTCACGACCCTCTTTTATAATAGCCAAGTAACCTGCGAGCCCCTGCCCTATTTGCATAAAAAGGGGTTTTTTTTAAATGAGCGGAAGTCATCTCCGCTCAAAGAGTAGAGGCTTCTTCCCCCCCCCCCAGGCCTGTTTCCACAGACACGTCAACTTTAATATCCCGCTCTGAAAGGTCAAGGGCGAAATTATTTAACAAAGGCTACAGCACATGTAAGGTGACTTGGGATTCCTCAGAAAACACTTGGGGGAGGGGGATCATGGCCTCCCAGAGGTTGGAAAACCCTGATCTAAGTTCACTCCTGCCTGAGCTGGCACCCTCCAGGTAAGCGACTCACGATTTAAGCTCTAACCCTTTCCCCACGGCAGCCCCAACACACACACACAGGAGGGGGGGCACTACCTGTGCCTCTCCAAAACCGCCGCCTCCTTACCTTGGTGATGGCATTAAGGGCATCCCAGCTCTCGTTGAGCACCACCGGGCTGGTGTCGTTGAAGAGGCGGATCAGGCCCGACACCAGGCTGCTCAAGTGGGCCGTGTAGTCCGCCTTCGTCTTGGCGCAGTAGAGGTGGAGGATGACGGCCGCCGCCTGCCGCATCCCCACCTCCGGGCTCCGGGTCGCGTCCAGCAGGTCTTCGATGATGATCCTCTGCCCGGCCTCGTCCTCCACGGACAGGATGACGGCCTGGCAGTTCGCGATCTCCTGGAAAGGACAACAGTCAAGGTTTCCCTTATCACCTGTGGCCACCCCTTGAGCCTTGAGGGCATGAGCTTTCCAAACCCTTCACCTCGCCTTAGCTGCCAAAAGAGAGGAAGCTATTTTTCTCCCTATTTAAAACAAGTGATATTCAGAGTGAGAACGGTCGTCGCTGAGTGAGCTAGCTTGGTGGGTTCTAAGGCCAATTTCCTGCCCTGGGAATCTCAAAGAAACCACCAAAAATGTCCCCAATCCAAAAAAGAAATACAATAGAACCCCCTTAATATTAAAAATATTAAAGGAAAAATCCCCAAAATATATATATTTCTCATGATGAAGTTACCAGACCTGGCCACTAGAGGGATCCAGAGACCATGCTATCTGTATAATATTTGCTGTTATAATAGAATTTGCTATAATGCACAATTTTCAGCATCCACGGGGGGGGGGAGGACTTGGAACCAATTTCCTGCGGATACAGGGGTCCTGCTGTAAACGAATAAATAACAAAAAGAAAGCAAAAGTAAAGAAAGGGACCTTTTCATATTTAAAATGGTACAAGGGACTCGGTGACCTATTCAAAAGGTCGACTGCCACCGCGGAAGGTTCCAGAACTACCAGGAGATGCAATTCAACTTATTGGCTGGAAAAAATGAAGCAACAGCGATGGGGACATTGCAGAAACATCTATGCGACTCCACAGCTGCATTCTGCCAGCCGAAACTGTCCAGGTGTTGGAACAGAAAATGCAAGTACAAACAACACTGGTGGAGTTTTTATTGGGAGGTCACAGAGGTGCTAGAAATCCTTCGGTGCCACTTCTAGCCGTCTGACTCTTATCCCAACCTTTCACTTGCCAACAATGGCTCATCATCTTGCCAGCTGACTGGCCCTGGCCAGTTGCTCTCTCAAATATTTTAACTTGAGAAACAGAACCGGCATGGAAAGGCTGTAGGCTCAGTGGTAGAACAAGTCTCAGGTTGATCCACACCATTTCCAGGTCGAAGATGGGAAAGTCCATCGGCTGAAACCCGGCCAGATGCCTGGTGGGCACCCATGTTGAACAGTGGTTCTCAAATGTTTGTTCTCCCAGATGTTCTGAACTTCAACACCCAGAAGGTAAAGGCTCAGACATCAGGACTTCCACAGGCTGAGGACCAGGGGTGTAGTAGAACATACTAAGCTAGATGAACCCGGGAGCAGATTCTGAACGAAGGCATCTTCTTTATCAACGAGAGTTCTTTCTTCCCTGGCCATGAGCTGGGAGGTCACATCAGAAGGCTTATCACTGCAGATGATGGCCTCCAGAGAATATTTCTGTCTCCCCAGAGGACAGCCATCCAATAGATAAAACAACTTTAAAAAATCAAAGAATCATAGAATAATTGAGTTGGAAGGGGACTAATAAGGCCATCCAGTTCAATGTCTGGCTCCATGCAGGAATCCAACTCAAAGTAGATCTGACAGACGGTGGTCCAATTTTCTCTTAAAGGCCCCCAGCGCTGGTGTGCTCACCATTTCCCAAACTCATTGGTTCCACTGTCGGACTGTTCTAACCGTTAAGTTTTTTGCTGATCTTCAGCCTAAATCTGGCTTCCTGTAGCTTGAGCCCATGATCAGGTATCTTGCACTTTGAGATGATCAAGAACAGATCCTGCACCTACCTTTCAAGTATTTGAAAAGTGCAATCCTGTCTCCCTTCAGTCTTCTTTTCTCAAGGTGAACCATGCCCAGTGTTTTTCAGTTTTAACTCATAAATTGAGAATGAATTCTCAGCTAGTCAACCTGCTACCCACGGGTGACCACTCGACAATCCAGCTGCTTTCGCTGGGCAGTGCTGGCCACCAGCAATGGGGACACCAGCTGGAGGGAGCAAGATGTGGCCAAGCCCAAGAGACTCTGACATCCACGGCCAGCTTTGTTACGACACAGCTATTGCCGCTTGGCACCGAGATCGCTGTGTTGTGCAAGGTGGGTTTGGTTTTGCATCAAGAGGGCCTCATGGAGGCTCACATGAAACCAAACCTGCAGAGGAACAAGCCACAGAAGGCAGCGTTTCACGAAATGGGAATTTGCCGATATCTTGCAGGCGAGGACTACGTCGCCAGAACTGGGGTGCAGTACAGACATCAGACGGTTTGCCACCTGGAACTGCTCCTGCAAAGGTGGCTTTGTAGAATAATTGAGTTGGAGCATCTAGCGATTACGTCTGAGGGAAACCCCAGTTACAAAATCATGGCTACTAACGGCTCGGGTGGGGCGAAACCTTCGATTTCAAAGATTCTGAAATCAAAGGTGAGGCATTCAATTTCAAAATCTTTGCTTCTGGCTGGGCTTGCCTCTCCAAACCGTCTTTACCTGCAGCTCATCAGCCGATCCGAGCTTCTCCTTCAGTGCCAACATCATGGCCGGCAAGATGACACCAAGGTGGCGGGTGAGGGCATCTCCGGCAACCGATGAGAGAAAGGCCAGGACGCGGGTGTTCACGGGAGGGGAAATAAGCTAAAGAGAAGAAAGAGAGACGGCGTTCTATCCAAACGAATATCAAACACCCGCAAACTGTACGAGTGGCTATTTCTGACCAGAGGGAGGGAAAAAAATTCTCAGTTTGAAATGCGAGCTTGGTCCCTAAGGATAGGAGTGTCTTAACAAGCTACAAAACGTCGGCCGCCCACCTCACAGGTGGGCCTCCCTGTCTTGAGAGTCTCGGACTGTTGTGGGTGGAGAGGCCCTTCTCTGTTCTCACCTCCGCTGGACGCACAACAATGATGGGTCAAGAGAGAAGGCCTTCAGGATGGCAAACTTTTCACCTGCAGAACTCATTGGGGATTCTCTTCTACAACTTCCCAGCCTGTGGCAAAGACCTTTTCTTGTTTAGACAGCCAGCTGCTGCAAAGTTGGGACTGATGTTTTATTATTATTTTTTATCTTACGGTCGGCATCCTGTAACTTTCACCATTTTGCAGGACATTGCCTGCCACCCTACGTGGTGCCCAAGTACCAGAGGGGTGCGATACAAAGGGGCTTTGAAACCAACCCATACAGGAGGAAAAGCACTCCATGTTTGATTTTATTCGGTGGCTGTTTCATTATGGAGGTTCAGTAACTTTCCTTTGCTTGTTGTTGTTTTATGAATGGCGGGCTATAAGTGGCTTTGAGAAAAGCCAAAAGAAATCAGCAAAAAGGCAACAGCCAAGGCTAACCACTCCGGACACCCTGATACCTCGTGGCGTTGTGATCCAAGCTGCCTTCCATAACCCACAACCCTTCAGATGTCTTGGATTACAACTCCCATCATCTGCAGACTTCAGGGTCATAGTAGTAGTGACAGAAACAGTAATTCTACACATCTGGAGGATGCCTGATTTGATGAGAGCAAAAGGCAGCCTTCTCAGAGGCTGCTGGACTGCAACTCCCATCTGCCTTACCAAGCATACAGCCAATAGTGAAGGATGATGGGAGGGGCAGTCAAACCACTTTTGGAGGGCCCTACTTTGCCCGCCAGTAGATCGGATACTGAAGACAGGAGGGCCCGGCGTGCTCTGGTCCATGGGGTCACGAAGAGCCGGACACGACTTAATGACTAAACAACAACAAGATTAGATACTATTGGCCAGGAGAGAGATGAAATCTCTACCCAGCCAATCACCTTGGACCAACTGTAGTCATTCATCTGGACTGTATCAACCACAGGACTGTTGTGAGGATACATGGAGGCAGAGGAGAAAAACAAGCTCAAAATTAGAGACTGTAGACGTATAATAATTACACACACAAAATTAAAATCCTGGCATTTCAAGCAAACACACCTGTGTAAAATTCATGTGTTTCAAAAAACCTTCATATTCATGTTTTGGGTACATTCCCCAGTTTTAACAAAGAAAATAACTTTACAAAAGAGACAGATTTTTTAAAAAAAAATCCAAAGATTCGCAAAGTTGGTATTTGCCAAGAATAATAATACTGTAACCAGTTTAATATGGGGGACGGGTATAAAGAAACGTGGAATGTGGCTATCCATGATATATCAATTTCCACCCACAAATTCACAATCAATGTGAATTTAGTGAGAAAAGGAATATTGAAAGCAACTTATTTTAAGGATATATGGACATTTGTTCAATACGTCTTTGGGAAAGGCTAAGCATCATATTTTGGAGAGAAACAGGGCACTGAAATTTAAAGAAAAGAAAACCCAAGGGTGATGGAAACCCCAGATGTATTTATGACTTCTAATATGAATCTGAGTTCGTGTTTTGGTTGTTAGTTATTTTTCTTTTTCTTTTCTGCCTTTGCATTAGCTACATTATTTTTTCATTATTGAAACACTTTTTAAAAAAAGATTCCTTGTTACATTGTTTGTTATTAAAATAAATAAATAAAATTTTAAAAGATCCCAAACGTTTTCAAGGGGCCCTCTGTCTATCCACCGACGTACCTTTGGCACCAAGTAAGGCAACACCACCCGGCTCTTGACAGCCATCACTTGCTTAAGGCCGTCCAAAGCAAACTCTGAGGTCTCTTCACATTCCTAGAGAAAAGGAGGGAGACGAAAAAATGGGCCTTTGTGGGGAGAAACAAAGTCACAGCAAAGGTTAGCCTCGTTAATGTTTTTGCCTTTCCAGGAGCTCTGCCTCACCAACCCATCCAGCAAGGACGTTTGAACACCTGGCCTGCCACTGCCTTGCAGCAGCCCGTAAAGGAAAGCTAAAAAGCAAAGTGTTCTGCTTATATACAGCCCCCTAGCGCTTAAAGGTCTCTCTGGCTGGTTTACCGTTTAATTATGCAAACTACACACTGTGCCACAAACAACCCCCTCCCCCAAAGTGAGCTGGTTACTCAATTTACCAACCTCGGAAGGATGGAAGGCTGAGTGAACCTTGAACCGGCTACCTGAATCGAACGGCATAGCACCGGGTTGTGAGCAGAGGCTTCACCGCAGTACTGCAGTTTAACTAGTACACCACGAGGGTCAGGTACACTTCTACAAGATCCCAATTTTCCAGTCTTTTTTGGAGAAACATTTGGTGTTTTTTTGTTCAAAATGTCTCTTCATACCTCTAGCGGGAAGGGGGACAGTTCTGAAGGGTCCCAAGAGTGGAGGGCCTACATTATGGGGACCTCAAAACTTAAACTGTTATGGAGGCCCCTTTGTGACCAGCAATGAGGTCTGAGTAACCACTGTTATTTTATATTAAATATCTTTAGAACAAAACCACCACCCCAAGTACTTCAAGCTCTCTCTGGACAGTTTACAATTTAACTATGCAGACTATATATTGCCCCCTAACGAGCTGGGCCAGCCTTGAT